CCCCCCCCCCCCCCCCGAAAACCCGTCCGGTCGCCAATGACAAAATGTCGAAAACCATTAAACTCCGGCGCACACGCGCGCCGCGCGGAACGGTGACGGTTTTTCCGGACAAAAATGTCCATATGTTGCTCGCATATGGTATTTTCGAAACGCCGGATTTCGGAGTCGCGACGAAGGTACGAAATTCCGACCGGGCGCTGCGCGTTTCCGGACGGTTTCGCGTGAAATAACCGAAACGAATTTAAGAAAACAAAAAAACGTATCGAATTTACGCTCCGCGAAAATGTCCGGTTCGCGCAGACAAACGGATCGTCCGCGACAGCCGACGTTAACGGTTCGGGCGGCCAGTGAAAGACCCGCGAAAACTACCGAATTGCGCCGGGGCAGTTTGTGGCCGTCGCAACGCGAGCGAGTACATCGCGAAAACGCGGGCGACACGCGACAAATGTACGGTGAATATATTTTGATGAAAACGCCATTTTTTTCCACGGCGGACAACGCGATTCGTGTTATTGTCCGTAGGAGAAAAGAATAACGGCCCGGACAATCTCGCCGAGGAAGCCCGCCGACGGGGACGATCGCGGCGACGAAAATCATCCGGTCCCTCAAAACGCGCGGCGACGCCCGACATTTTTAATGGCCCTGTTTCACGCGCGAACGTTTTTTTTTCCCCATCTTTATTCTCCGTTTTTCGGAACCGCGTTTTTTCGAGGCGAGAGATTCTTCGCGGCGGCGAACGACAACAATAACAAAAACAAAAACGAAAAAAAACAATTATCAACGATATTAATACGTTACGTTTTCGCGTTATCGGTGAACAAAAAAACGGGGAAAATAAAAATAAAAAAATAAAAAAAAACATCGGTTTGATTTCGATGACCCGGAGTCGCGCGCCGTCCGGCGTTTTCGATCGCGGTCGGCCGGACGCCGCAGCGGTCTCGGGTCCCGCCGACAACGCAAGAGTTTGTCGGCTTTTCGGACAAAATGTTCACTCGGGTCAATCGAAAGCGTATGAGGAACGGGCCGGGACGGATAGTCGAAAACGGTGTTCGGACAAAGCGCGCAAACGGTTCCGCAAACGGATTACGGCGGTAAGTGACGGCGCGGGAAATCTCGATTACGGGCGCGCTCTGTACGCGATCCGTTTCGAAAATCGCCGCGGCAGAAAATTAAAATGCGAAAATTTAAAACACCGCGTGACAGCGACGCATCGCCATTATCGG